TATATATATATAACAAAAACATGCTTACAAATTCATTATAATATTCTTTATTACTTTAAATTGTATCATAAATCTGTCAGTTTCCCTTTATTTCATAGTGTAACTTAGAGAGATGATTTTGTAAAAAGTATATCCCAATGGGTTTTAGGACCCTGCAAGACCTACCAATCCTTCCATGTGTCAGCCATGCTTGAGCAGACATATAATTGATCAAAATAGATCATTTGAGGTCCATACATTGTTGTGCATTGTTCAATAACCAATAATATTCTACCCTCAAAATACTCTGATTTTAGCTTATTTTATTAATTCTATGAATTTAGTAAAATGTTTTTCAAATGGCTGGAAAAAGCACAGTTTTGAGTGGATTTATTAAAATAAAACAATTCCGGGGCAGCGCATGTCCCATGTCCTCCTATGACAGCATCACTCCACGGCTGCTTGTTAACATCAACATGTGTCTCCTATTAGTACATATTAGCATATGTTGCCGGGTATGAGGTAGGGTTGTTAAATTATGTTTCAAAATCAGTATATAGTTGTTAACTATTTTAATTCGACAAACGTATTTAATTTTGAATGTGAGTATATGTAGTGAGATTTAGAAAATCTGTTTGGGGCTAAGCTGCCCAAAAGGATCCTTAAAACACACCTAATGTTCATGGAAGAAAAACAGGAGCAAAGCTCTCACCTGTGGATGATGTGCTTACTGCGGAGGTATCCCAGAGCCAGGGCTAATTCACAGATGTAGAGCTTCACGGTGCTTTCCAAAAAGTGAACGTTCTGCTGGAGGTGGTATCGCAAATCTCCACCAAGGAGCAAGTCCACCACCATAAACATGTCCTCTTCATCCTGGAAGGAATACCTGCACCAGAAGAAAAGCAGACATTTAGAATGTGGGCAAAAAAGAATGTCCATAAAGATGATACAGAGTGAGGTATAGGTGCATAAGAGAGGGGTTAAAAAAGAAACAAAGCATTTGGTTCACATAGAAAAAAGTGAAAATGAGAAAATAAAATTCTAATGGCAAACCTGAGAAACAGCATGAGAACTCATTTCAATAAAAGACAAATTGGAAAGATATTTAAATCTGACATGACAAGATTAAAGAAAATAAGAATATATTAATTTCATATTTTGAAAATACAATTATTCATTTAGTAGCATGTTATCTAAGAATGGTCGAGGTAAAATGAGAAAATTATATAATTAATTCAGCTGTGGGAGAATACTAAATGCTTTTGTTTTTCACAAAACCTAATCCTTTTAGAAATTAGGCTAACGCCTGGCTGACACTGGCACCTGTTTTAATTTTATAATCCTATCAAAATAAACTACAATGACAAAAACTACACTGGAGAGGCTGAGTTGCTTTTTTAATTTTATTTTTCTTTTCTTTGCCATACCAAGTGGTTTTAAAACAACATTTTATTTTATCCATCCCTYATACAAAATATATGAGAAGCAAATTGAATTTATGTTAGCCCTGAGCTCCTCAAACAAATCTGTCTTTTTACAAGAAAATACAAACCTTCAGTACAAAAGATGTAGCTCCACTCTAAACTGAGTCATAGTAAAGACAATAATCATTACTGTGTCTTCAAGGATAACAAGCTCAGAAAAGCCTTGATTATGTTCTAAATAAGTGGTTCTGCAGCCTGGAGAGAGGTGAGGTGATTAGACAGCGTACATGTCTGACAAACCAACATGAGGCACGTGAGTGCTGATTAGCTCTAAAACTTGTGCTTTAATAACCTGATTTTAATTTTTAGACATTCATTCCCCTTGTAATGTCAGCCATTCTGTTTGTAAATAAAATAACTCATTATTGACTTAAATAGCCATGACATTGAAAATAAATAAAAACATAAAAAACAGTCCCATGTCTACATGTGTTTTGTGGACTTGAAGGCGTTTGACAGTGTCCCCTCGGGGACTCCTGTGGGGGGTACTCCGGGAGTATGGGGTACCAGGCCCATTGATACRGGCTGTTAGGTCCCTGTACGACCGGTGCCAGAGCTTGGTCCACATTGCCGGTAGTAAGTCGGACTCATTTCCGGTGAGAGTTGGACTCCGCCAAGGTTACACTTTGTCACAGATTCTGTTCATAACTTTTATGGACAGAATTTCWAGGCACAGCCAAGGTGTTGAGGGTATCCGTTTTGGTGACCTCAGGATCACATCTCTGCTTTTTGCGGATTRTGTGTTCCTATTGGCTTCATTAGATCGTGATCTACAGCTCTCACTGGAGCGGTTCGCAGCCGAGTGTGAAGCGGCCAGGATAGGGATCAGTGCCTCCAAGTCCGAGACCATGGTCTTGAGCAGGAAACAGGTAGTGTGCCACCTCCGGGTCGGGAAGGAGGTCCTGCCCCAAGAGTTTAAGTATCTCGGGGTCTTGTTCACGAATGAGGGAAGAATGGAGCGGGAGATCGACAGACGAATTGGTGCTGCATCTGCAGTGATGCGGGCAGTGTAACGTTCTGTCGTGGTGAAGCGGGAGCTGAGCCAGAAGGCGAAGCTCTTGGTTTACCGGTCAGTCTACATTCCTACCCTCATCTATGGTCACAAACTTTGGGTAGTGACTGAAAGAACGAGATCGCGGATACAAACAGCTGAAATGTGTTTCCTTCGCAGGGTGTCTGGGCTCTCCCTTAGAGATAGGGTGAGAAGCTCAGTCATCCAAGAGGGACTCAGAGTAGAGCCGCTGCTCCTCCACGTCCAGAGGAGCCAGTTAAGGTGGCTCAGGCATCTGGTTAGGATGCCTCCTGGACGCCTCCCTGGTGAGGTGTTCCGGGCACGTCCCACTGGGAGGAGGCCCAGAGGGAGATCCAGGACACACTGGAGGGACTATGTTTCTCTGCTGGCCTGGGAATGCCTTGTGATTCCCCAGATGAGCTGGTCTAAGTGGCTGGGGAGAGGGAAGTCTGGGTCTCTCTGCTTAGACTGCTGCCCCCACGACCTGATCCTGGATAAGCGGCCAAAAACGGACGGACGGACGGACGGATATTATGCAAAATGAACTTTTTTGAGCTTCATATAATGTCATGTCATTCTCTAATCAAAAACATACCCATAGTGTTTCTTTGACTGACTCATTCAGGCATGTTTGAGAAATTCTTGAATCTCCTGTGGTAGCCATGTAGAGCTGCCTGAACACATGCTGGTACAAAGCTCCGCCTATTTGTACAAAACTCCTCCCTGGAGCTCAGTCCGCAGCCGAGCTTCCATCTCTTTCAAGAAGCATTGTTGTGAAGATGTGCTGAAGTGGGAGTGTCGGAAATAGTAGGAAGTTCTTAAAGAGACTGAGGCCAATTTCACGGCTAGTCAAATTTATTTTTCATATATATACAGCTTTTTCAACTGAATGTAAACTAAGTTACTTAAATGTGGTATAGAATTAAACTATCTGGAAAATTCATAAGTACTTTTCTTAGTAATTTTTTTTTACCATAGTCATTTTCTGTGAAGATATTTTTAATTTTACTTAGTTATTTTTTAAGTACTCTATAACCTGCACTTGTAATTGAAACTCAATAACTTGTATCCCGCAGCTCCTCTACGTTCCATCTTTGTGGTGACGGAGTAAGTGCCAACTAAAACTCCATCATCTTGGCTCAGACTCGATGCTCAGTGACCAAGACAGAAGATTTTTGCCACGTTGGAGAACTCTTATCCTCTGGGACCTTCACAGATAAACTGAATGTGGTGGAGGGTGTGTATGTGTGTGTGTGTGTGTGTGTGTGGGGGGGGGGGGGTCTGCACTGGATAGATGAGGATTGATTGATTGAGCTGACTCCAAACTGTCTGCTAAGGCTCATATAATGCTGAGACCACATAACCTTTAACTACCAGAGGCCTCAGAATGTGGAAAGACTGTTTGTGAGATGCATGTCCTCAATAGGTAGGCACAATTCACAAAGTGCTTCCCAAACAATGAAAAACAAACATTTTGATTGTTAATGTCAAACAAAACCTGAATGCAGCATGAAACTTAATATCTAAGTTTTTTAGAGGCTGATTCTGAATATGGAGTTTCACTGAATTTAAACATTTTCTGACACTAAATTAACAAAATGAATTTTCAATCAGTGTTTTTTTAAATAATTTGTATAATTTCCTACTTGAAATGCTTTTTGAATAAAAACAGTATCAGTAATACTGTAAAATATGGATAAAGGAAAAAATATTAAGAACAAAACTGGAAAAGTGAGCTTTTCAGAGCAATGCAAGAACAACAAAGCTAAAACTATAAACTAAAATAAGAAAAAAAAACAAGGTTCTTCGTGGTTTAAAGAATGAGCTACACAACAGCTGGTGTTTGCTGGACGGGAGCCACTTTACTCGTTCTATTAATCTTTTGATTAACTGCATTTGCTTCTCATCCTCCATCTTTCTGTCTTTTGGTTTTAGCCGTTTTTTTTCATCCTCTCATTCAGCCTTCCACACTGTTCAACACACACACACACACATCTTTAAACATAAATACTGTGTAAATACCTCTAACCCACCAGAGTTAGTTAAGTTTGTGAAGGATATAAGAAGCTGCTGTCACAAGTGTTTAGGAGACACAAACTGGACTTTATTGGCTCTTTTCTTGGCTGAGAAACGCTAGCTTCTTTCAGGAAAACAAACAAAAAATGTTGATTTTACTTCAAAATCTGTTCAATCAAACATTTTTTCTAGATGTGTGATAAATTATAAGAGTTATTAATTGATTTATTTTATTTTGAGCTGATGCAAAGAATTGCCGTCATGTGAAAAATGACTTCTGCAGTTAACACCTTAAGAAATGTGGGGAAACTGTGTATATACGGACAATATTTATGAATGTAGGCATGTATGTATGTATATCTTTACATATGTATGGGTATGTGTATATTTTTATATAAGCCCTCTATGTATTTGTCCATTTGTTTTTTGGGTGGGCAGACGAATGTTGGGTGTGTGGTCCTGTGTTTTGTTGGTGTGTATTTGGTATGCTTCTAATCGCTGTTTCAGTCTTTCTATCTTTCTGGTTGCTTCTCTCTCTGTTTTTCTCTCTCTCTATTTTCTCTTCACAAAAAAAAAAATCATAATGGTGTGGAGAGGATGGCTATAAGGGGAGAAGGGAGGCCATCCAAAAAAAATGTGGGGAAACTAGACTGACATTGTATGTAATGTACAGTATGTATGACATTGTAATCTGTTGTTAGAAAACAAAGTTTCATGCCACCTGGACTTTGGCTTTTTAAATTTGTTTGTGTAATTTTTTCAGTGCAATTTCCTTCTGGTGCTCTGTTGGAATGAACTAGAAAAGTAGCTTGAAGTTGGATATTTCTAAACTTAAAAACAGATATCATCTGTAAGAGGTGAAAACATTTCCTGCAGAGAAATAATGCAGGCCTTTTGTGATTTTTCTGAAGTTTCAACCCATTACAGTCAAACTGAGTGAACTTGTCTGAACCTTCTAAGTGGTTGTTCATTAAAACTACTCCTGCAAATATGTCTCAATCCACATGCATCTGAGAATGAGCACATTGTTTTTATAGACGCCCCAGTGTGAGGTGGCAGAGAGAGTGGACTGCTCAGATTTGAATGGAAGGTGTGAGCTGCCTTCATGTACTAAACAGCTGAGGTTCAGACAAATGTTCACAGCAAGTGGTGTGCTTTATTTTCAAGTCCTGAACAGCTCACACCTTGCCTCTGAAGTTCCTGTGAAAAATCACAACTGAACAATCACTGAAGTGGCAGACACAGGCTGGTTTGTTTTTTTTTTTTTTTTTGCAAAAATCCAAAAGTTCAGACTAACGAGACTCAAGACAGTGGGCCTCATGCAAGAATCGTTCGTACGAACAGATTTGTTCCT